TTTAACCAGCTGAGCCACCCAGGCACCTCTCAACATTATCTTTCAGATTAGGTTCTGAAAAAAACTTCACAATGAAATGACAGCCTGGAAGAACATTTTTGCAACACGTGTAACTGACAAAGAGTGAACATTATTAATATACAAAGAGCTCCTGAAAAATTAATAAGATTAAGACAAACAACTCAAAAGAAAAATAGCTTAAGAACATGAAAAGCTGGTTCCCAGAAAAAGCACAAAATTATAAAAAGTAGCTAAAACGCATTACTAAATAAATGTATAACTAAACAAATAAAACCAGCTCATCCATCAGATTGGTATATTCCTTTTTAGAAAATAATTTAAAAAAATATGCATTATTTTTTGACCTAACAATGCTGCTCCAGTATCTATCACATTTACATAAGGATGGCCATTTGTATAATTCTTTATAATACTAAGACCAAGAAATAACCTACAAATCATGTGTATGTCTAAAATTATTTTAATTGCAAAAAAAGTAGATTTTAAGTTAATATGTACAGCTTGATTCCCCTGGTTTCATACTTATGTTTTTGTACTTACAAGTAAATGTGGATAGATAGATAGATAGATAGATAGATAGATAGATAGATAGATAGATAGAACAATTTAACTGTGGGGACTAGTTGGGAAGGACATGCCCCATATTGTCACACTGTGAAATGAGAGAAGATAAGCAAAGGGAGGATTTGTTTATTTTTATTTTTAAAGTGGTGAGATTAGAGTACATTTCATGTTTTTTATTGACTTTGGTATTTCATAAATAAAACTAGTTTTAAAAAGAAGAAAAATCATCTGTCTTAATGATTAATCATGAATCTAAAGTTATAAAAATCTCGGATCTGTTTAGTCCCATTTAACATTTTTCCTTTATTACAATAGGTGCAGGTGCAACATTTTTGTTATATATAAACAAATAAGAAATACATAAAAATTCCTCATAATTCTCATAATCCTCCCAATGAAGTAGAGTAGTACTCTACTACATAATGGTTCTAGAAGACTGTACTATTTCCTGTTTATTTCTAGGCTCTACAAAGTTTTGAGTACCATCACAAAAGCAATAGTCCCATGAATCAGTTACTGAGTGGTAATTTTCTACAATTTTTTAAAATGCATGTGATGCTCTTTAAAAACTATAATAGTCTTGAAAAATTATGTGCCAAAAAAAATGGACAACCTAGATGAAATGGATAAATTCCTAGAAACATATAACCTCACAAAACTGAATCAGGAGGAAATAGACAATTTGAACATACTGATTAATAGCAATGAAATTGAATAAGTAACCAACAAACTCCCCAAAACAAAAGTCCAAGACCAGATGGTTTCATAGGTGAATTCTACCAAACATTTAACTCTTCTGTTACTACCTATTCTTTTCAAACTCTTCCAAAAAACAGAAGAGTAAGGAAAACTTCCAAATTCATTCTATGAGGCCAGCATTACCCTGATACCAAAACCAGAAGACACCACTGAAAAAGAGAACTACAGACCAATATCTCTGATGAACACAGATGCAAAAATCCTCAAGAAAATATTAGCAAACTGAATCCAACAATACATTAAAAAAAAAAAACATTTACTACAATCAAGCAGGATTGATTCCTGGGATGCAAAGGTGGTTCAATATTTGCAAATCAATCAACATGATATATCATATCAACAAGAGAAAGGATAAAAACCATATAATCATTTCAGTAGATGAAGAAAAAGCACTGGACAAAATACAACATCCATTCATGATAAAAACTCTCAACAAAATAGGTTTAGAGGGAATATACCCCCAACATAATAAAGGCCATATATGAAAAACCCAGAACATCCTATTCAATGGTGAAAAACTGAGAGTTTTTCTCCTAAGCTCAGGGACAAGACAAGGATGTTCATTCTTATCACTTTTATTCAACACAATACTGGAAATCCCAGCTACAGCACTCAGACAAGAAAAGGGAATAAAAAGCATCTGAATTGGTAAGGAAGAAGTAAAACTGTCACTATTTGCAGATGACATATGTAGAAAACCCTAAATACTCCACCAAAAAACTACTAGAGTTGAAAAATGAATTCAATAAAGTTTCAAGATACAAAATCAATATACAGAAATCAGCTGCATTTCTATATGATGATGAAGTAGCAGAAAGAGAAATTAAGAAAACAATCCCATTTACAAATACACTAAAAATAATAAAGTATCTAGGAGTCAATTTAACTAAGGAGGTGAAAGACCTGTACTCTGAAAACCATAAAACATTGATGAAAGAAAGTGAAGATGACACAAACAAATGTAAAGATATTCCATGCTCACTGACTGGGAGAAAAATTTTGTTAAAACGTCCATACTACCCAAACAATCAACAGATTCAATGCAATCCCTATCAAAATACCAATGGCATTTTTCACAGAACTAGAACAAATAATCCTAAAACTTGTATGGAACAAAATATCCTTAAATAGCCAAAACAATCTTGAAAAAGGACAAAGCTGGAGGTATCCCAATCCCAGATTTCAAGATATACTACAAAGCTGTAGTAATCAAAACAGTATGGTACTGACACAGAAATAGACACATAGATTGATGGAACAAAATAGCCCAGAAATATACCCACAATTATATGGTCAATTAATCTATGACAAAGAGGGAAAATGCAATGGAAAAAAAAGACAGTCTCTTCAACAAATAGTTTTGGGAAAACTGGACAGCTACATGCGAAGGAACGGAATTGGACTTTCTTACCCCATACACAAAAATAAACTCAAAATGGATTAAAGACCTAAATGTGAGACCTGAAACTCCAAAATTCTTAGAAGAAAACATAAGCAGTAATCTCTTTGACATCAGCCACAGAAACATTTTTCTACATATGTTACCTTTGGCAAAGGAAACAAAAGCAAAAATAAACTATTAGGACTACACCAAAATAAAAAGCTTTTGCACAGTGAAAAACCATCACCAAAACAAAAAGACAAACTATTAAATGGGAGAAGATATTTGCAAATGATATATCCAATAAAGAGTTAATATTCAAAATATATAAAGAACTTATACAACTCGGCACCAAAAAAGATAAATAATCCAATTTAAAAATGGGCAGAAGACATGGACATTTTTCCAAAGAATATATGCAGATGGCCAACAGACACATGAAAAGATGCTCAACATCACTCATCATCAAGGAAATGTAAACTAAAACCACAATGAGATATCACCTCACACCTATGAGAATGGCAAAAATAAAAAACACAAGGAACAAGTGTTAGTGTGGATGTGGACAGAAAGGAACCCTTTCGCACTGTTGGTGGGAATACAAACTGGTGCAGCCACTGTGGAAAACAGTATGGAGGTTCCTCAAAAAATTAAAAATAGAATTACCATATGATCTAGTAATTCCACGCCTGGGTATTCATCCAAAGAATACAGAAATGCTAATTCAAAAAATAAAATGCACCTCTATGTGTATTACAGCATTATTTACAATGGCCACCATATGGAAGCAACCCGAATGTTCCTTCATAGATGAATGGATTAAGAAGAGGTTAGATACACACACACACACACACACGTACGTACGTATATATATCAAATGGAATACTACTCAGCTATAAAGAATGAAATCTCACCATTTGCAACAACATGGATGGATCTAGAAAGTATAATGCTAAGTGAAATAAGTCAGAGAAGGACAAATACCATATGATTTTACTCATATGGGGAATTTAAGAAACAAAACAAAGGAACAAAGAAAAAAGAGACAAACCAAAAAACAGACTCTTAAATACAGAGAACAAACTGGTGACTACCAGAAGAGAGGTGGGTGGGGGGATGGGTGAAACAGGTGAAGGGGATTTTTTTTTTTTTAAGATTTTATTTATTTATTTGACAGAGAGAGAGACACAGCGAGAGAGGGAACACAAGCAGGGAGAGTGGGAGAGGGAGAAGCAGGCTTCCTGCTGAGCAGGGAGCCCGATGCGGGGCTTGATCCCAGGACCCTGGGATCATGACCTGAGCCGAAGGCAGATGCTTAACGACTGAGCCACCCAGGTGCCCCAGGTGAAGGGAATTAAAAGTACACTTATTGTGATGAGCACTGAGCAATGTATGGAAGTGCTGAATCACTATACTGTACATCTGAAATTAATATAATACTGTATGTTAATTGTATTGGAATTAAAAAAATTAAAATTTTAAATAAAACTATGGTAGTCTTAGCATACGTCCACACAAAACTTGTATACAGATATTCATAGCACTATTATTTATAAGTCAAAAAATGAAAACAACCCAAAGGTACATCAACTGATGAATGAATAAACAAGATGTGGTCTATCCACACAATGGAATTTTATTTGGCAGTAAAAAGGAATGATACTGATACATGTTACAACATGGATGAACATTATGCTATGCAAAAAAAGCCAGTCACAAAGTATTACATACTGTACGATCTCATTCATATGAAATATCCAGAGTTGCCCAATTTATAGAGACAAAAGTAGATTAGTGGTTGCTTAGGGCTGTGGAAGAGGGTAGGGAGAAGGTGGGAAGTGACTCCTAGTGGGTACTAGGTTTCTTTTTGGAGTGATGAGAATGTTTTAAAATTGAATTTATGGTGATGATCGTACAACTCTGTTATTATACTCAGAACCAATGAATTGTGTACTTTAAATGGGTAAACTTTTATGGTATGTAAATTATATCTCAATAAAGCTTTTTTAAAAATGTCTTAGGGAAGTGTTTTATTAATGCTAGTACAGCTGTAAATGAGAAGAGTTTTAAAGAATTTGTCCTTTTTCTTTTGTGTTCCCAATTGTCTTCTCCATATCACCACACTCCTACATTAAAACCCAGAGAGATTGTGGTTGATTGTGATCCTCTTTATAGAGAATTTTCCCCCTCCCAGTGGGTTTTGAACCTATTTGGTTGATACGTTTCTTGAATCAGTAGCCCACAAATGAAGATAAAATGGAAGTGCCGTACCTACCTTCAATAATATGTTTTCTTGACAAACCTCTTTCCGTTTCAGCTCTAACAAGAAAAAGAAGCAAATGACTTTGAGTGGGGGTGTGCTTTTTTTTTTTTTAATTGCTGTTTTAAAAGTACAGAGGAATAATCATTCTAGATTGAATTGCTAATTTTATACCCTGTTCTTGGCAAATTCCATGCCACAGGTTGAGGAGAGAAGGCTGGTGAGCAACATACCGAGCCCCTTTTCTTTGGAGACCCCAGGTGATTAATTAACCATGACTCTCCTCACACAATATTAATAACAACTCAGCCACACACACCCCGTCCATATATAATGTGACATATGGCTCAACCATCCCACCTTGATTTTAACTAATCCCAGACTGCCCCCCACCCCCAAAAAAGCCTTGACATAAGTTTGTGAGCTGTTGATAACACTCACTTTTTGACAGAGGAAGCAAATTTGGAAGTGCCTTTTGACTTGCAAAAGAAATTTAACAATTACTTTCTGTTAAAATGTGATATAAGTCTTTCTTACATTAGTATCCTAAGAAGACAAACATTTAACTAGGACTTTTGTCTTTCCAAACCATCCTCAAGCACTGGACAGTTAGAAAGAAATATGGTCCTCAAGTTTTGTTTTGTTTTTTTATTATGTTATGTTAATCACCATGCATTACATCATTAGTTTTTGATGTAGTGTTCCATGATTCATTGTATGCATATAACACCCAGTGCTCCATTCAATACGTGCCCTCTTTAATACCCATCACCAGGCTAACCCCTCCCCCAACCCCCTCCCCTCTAGAACCCTCAGTTTGTTTCTCAGAGTCCATAGTCTCTCATGGTTCGTCTCCCCCTCCGATTTCTCCCCCTTCATTCTTTCCCTCCTGCTATCTTCTTCTTTTTTTTTTTTTTTTAACATATAATGTATTATTTGTTTCAGAGGTACTCAAGTTTTAAAGTCTTCATGAAATGTTTCTTCAACATCACTACCTGTGGCAACCTCTTTTTAAAACATAGTAGTTTACCATTTGCCTTTGGTGATTTTGAATCTTTTATAAAAACATCAGATAATATTGTATGTAGTACTCCGCTACATAATGGTTCTTGAGGATTGTCTTCTTCCCTGTTTATTTCTAAAGTATAGGCAAGGCTTTAAGTACCATCACCAACGCACTGAGCAACAACACCATGAATCAGAGCACAGACAAAGTAAATCTACATTTCTCACAAGCACCATGTTGCTTGATTTTTATATAGGCGATAGTAGGAATAAAAATCTGAATTCCATCTTTCTGTCTTCATAGTCATCATAAAAAGGCTCAAAAATAGGAATAAAATATGAGTGTGTATGTGTAGGGGCTATTTGTATACATATACATTTTGATTTGAAGACTCCTAAGGAACTGTCCTCTGTCTCCAATTTTGTTTTTAACTGTTCCCTCTCAATTATAGGGAGGTAAATAAGGTTTTGTTTTTGTTTTTGTTAAGATTGCATGGAAATATTTGTGATTTCCATGAAAAGGTATGTGGAATAGCTAGCCAGACTTCTAAGTTCTGCTGAATCATGTAAGTACCAGTTCAAACACCAGTAGGCTTATCAGAGGCCAATTCATCCTGTGAAGTTTTGTTTGCATCCCACAACAGACAGAGGACTTCTCTTTCATTTGCCTGCCAGTGAGTGATATGGTAGCTTCCTGTTATTCTCCAAAAGGTGGTCCTTTTGATCAACATTTTCAATGCCTTCTGCAGAAATGATCAGAGACTCACACATGGGGCCAGACAAGATATTTTTATCTTTGCATTCCATGGAAGTCTCTGAGTTTTGGCAGATTCGAATAGTTTTTCTTCTGTGATGCTATGTGCTTGTTTTCTTTTCCTAAAATTTGAACTCTATTTTGGAAATGGTTCTAAGCATGAGGCTGGTATTTGAAAATCTCCATGAATTACTTACTAACAAGTGACCACATGCTTTACACTACATTTCTTTGGGGCATCTTGCTAAAATTGAATCCTAGGCTAATTGCTATTTCCTTCAAGGCAGAAAAAAATAATCTTTTTCCCCAAATCAATTAATTTTAGTACATTAGATGTAAAATGGTTGCCCAAAAGGATAAAAGTATGAAGTACTAGTTGTTTCCTGTCAAGTAGGGAAAAGAAAAGGTATTTAACTTACTTTCCACCCCAGTAGAGTTTGGTTGTTATGACCAAGCTGGACCTCCTGTATGTTAGACAAACAGAGAGAAATATTAAATAAATTGTTGGTTTTTGTAGTCATATTATTATAGCACCAGAAAGAATTTATTGTACCTCCCATTAAAAAAAAAGAACTGGTAAAGAGATAAATTTGTTAATTCATGTCACTGAAATATTGGGACAAAGGGAAGCTGGTGAGTGGGGACGTGAAGTCAGATCCTAGATAAAGAGGTTGAAGGGGATTGACCTGTACCTGGAGGGTCAGGTGGAGGAGGTTGTGGCAGTGAGCAGCTGATGGGGGTTGGCAAAGAGCATGAGCGGTAGGCACGGAGGGGCAGGAATGGTAAGCGAGAGGGTAAGTGAGTGGATTTAAAGGATGAACTGCTTTAGTAGCACTCACTAACGCTTATTTAGCATCTGCCATAATGTTGATTGAGTGTGAGCTTTCCTGGGGCTCAGTCCACCCTCTGCCAAGGACCACGGGCCCTAGCGGCTCTGAGTTATTATGCTTTCCAGCAGGCAGTAACTGACTGCATGGAGATATGAATGATAGAGTAGTCAATCAATAGGAATACATTTTGAGTGTTTTATTAAATGGAAACATTATTTTAGGAAAACAGTCTTAAAATCTGTAACTCAAGGTTTTAACCACTTTACTCCTAAGGGAATAAAAGGTGGAAATCTAGTCAGCAAACTTATTGCCTTCTCCAAACCACACCCAAGGGCAGGAAATGGCAATGGTATCACCATGATGATGGAATAGGAAACGCGTCTTGAGAATTACGGTCACATAATTTACAATCAGGAGGCAGATCTCAGTATAATTTAGTTTCTCCAGGTACATAATTCAATTGAACTGGCCTAGGGGGAAAAAAATCATCTGAGATTCAAAGGTTAAGACTAAACTTTGGGAGTATTTGAAATAAGACATTTATAATTCCATCAGCTGTAGAGCCGATGCCTTGGGGCCCGAGATAGAAGAGCCTCACAAGATTAATGATAACCAAATGAGGAATAAGGGTGACAATTCTGACAGCCTAGCTGCAACAAGAAAAATCTGTAGAAAATGCCAGCAACCCCATCCCACTGAAGTTAATTCCCTGAACAGTGATTGGAATCACTGTAATGGAAGCCCTACAGATATGTGCATCTGGAGATTACACACTGCGGAAGGGCTGATGCACTTTCCAGGTTAATCCATCAACCTCACGATACCCAGTGTAACAGCAATCTGCCACAGGGGAGCCAGGTCTCCTCGAGTAAACCTTTTCACAGCTTCAACCAGACGCCAGATAGAATATCATAAAAAATGAATGCAGTCCTCTCGATTATTCAGAGCGGCTGGGTCCACCAGAGCTGCATATCCTCTCCAAATACTATCATAGACTTTTTTTTCCCCCCCCAAAGTTAGGCTTTCCGGAAAATGTCTGAGCTCCGTCGGTGTGCACACTAACATGTATGTTCAAAGGGCAAGAGTAGCCAGCCAGCAACCTGGCCAATTACCACTGACCGTCGTGGAGGCATCTCCAGCAACTCTTCCGATTGGCTGGAGACTGATAATATGAGCATTCTACACTGATAGAGCACAGCTTTCAAAATACTTTTGCACACATCTCCCTTTATCAGCACGACACTTCATGAACAGTTAGGCCGTCCATTTTACAGATGGGGAAATGGAGACTCAGACAAGTGAAGTAACCTGCCCTGGAAAGCACAGCAGGCAAGGGGTCGTGCTGGGACTAGAAGGTAAATATGCTAGTTGAAACTTCTTGTAGAGACTCTGTGCTATGGTCTATCTTTTCATCAGTCTTGTAGGGGCAGCCATGTACTGATATCAATATTCTGGAGCATGGTGACAGCTTGGGTTTTTATCTGCAAGATGGAAAGCCAGTTTGTAGAAGACGCATGTTAATCTGGTTTCTTGTAGGTGTGTAACAGGCTCTGCAAACCATGGAGAGTGATGGTTAGAGGTTGTCTGGGTGCTAAGGGGAAAGAGCACTGATGGTGCTCCCCTCCTTCCTCAGGTGTCCTCTGTCAGCCCGCACCTTGTTGCGCAGTCCACAGGGCTGTGAGTGGGCTCATCTCCAGGGGCTCTGTTATGGGCTCAACTATGTCCCCTAAAAAGACATGGTCAAGTTCTAACCCCCGGTACCTCAGAATGGGAGCTTATTTGGAAATGGGGTCATTACAGATGTAATTAATTAAATTAAGATGAGGTCATACTAGAGTAGGGTGAGTCCTTAATCCAATATGACCAGTGTCCTTTTTTATTTTTCCAAAGATTTTATTTATTTATTTGACAGAGAGAGAGAGCACAAGTAGGCAGAGTGTGGGGCAGAGGGAGAGGGAGAAGCAGGCTCTCTGCTGAGCAGGGAGCTGGACGTGGGGCTCAATCCCAGGACCCCAGGACCATGACGTGAGCCGAAGGCAGCCGCTTAACCGACTGAGCCACACAGGCGCCCCTGACCAGTGTCTTTGAAGAAGACACATAGACACACACGAGGGGAGAAGGCCATCTGATGGCAGAGGCAAAGGCTGAGTGCAGCCCTGGCTGAGGAATGCCCAAGATTGCCAGCAAAAGCCAAAACCTAGGAAGAGGCAAGGAAGGATTCTACTCAGAGTTTCAGAAAGAGCACGGCTTGGCCCAAACCTTGATTTTGTACTTCTGGCCTCCAGAACTGTGAGAGAATAACTTCTATTGTCTGAAGCCACATAGTTTGCAGCACTTGATTCCAGGAGCCCTAAGGAGTGGTGCAGTCCCTATTTGGGCGGTGATGGATAGTTCTGAGTGGGAACAAAACTCCTGCAAGGTGGAGGACTGGGCAGGGATGTGAATATTTTTCCATATTTAAGGTTGAATATAGTTTTCTCTGAATAACCTTATAATCCCTGGAGTAGGGGAGGAGGAGCAGGGAGAAGGAGAAAGTGGGTCACCAAACTTTATTTGTTCATCTCTCCATAAATTTCTAAAAAGTTTCCATTTCCACTAATACTACAGAGCTCTTGTTTATCTGGCCAACAGCCGATCTTCTACCAGAGCAGAAGAGGATCCCAAACCTGTCCTGTGGTCTTGGCCTGATTCTCTACTCATGCTGGGAAAGGAGGGGCTGTCGTGGTTGACATGCTCAGTGAAGTGGAGGGGGATTGCCTCCCCACCCCCCACAGGTGAGGCATTCCTCTTTACCACTGGTGTTGGCTACAGCCCGCGATGGAATGGGATGTGACCCCCTCAAGGACAGCAGATGAAGCACTTCCTGAATGCCCAGATTAATAGGGCTCCCTGCACACGGCAGAGGTGCTGGCTAATTGCGTTCAGATAAGAGAACTTTGGGGCATTGATCACAAGGACCTCTTTCTTCATCATTTCTTTGCATCCAAAGTTGTCAGTAAAATGAACAGTGAACATAAATACGTGTTTATAGATATTCAGCTTCCTATCAGCTGCCTTCCTTTGCCAAATTACCACAAATGGCAGTGAGGAACCATGAAAATGCCACTTTCTTTTATGCATGACTATCTCATGACCATCCCCTCCTTCTCTGCTAAACCCTGTGGTAATTCATTGCGATCAATGACTCATCAATACTTTTTGAAGCACAAGTAATGAACTTGTTGGTATTTATTTTCAAACCACTATAAATCATCTCTTTACCAAGAATTGCCTTCTTTTTTGAGAGCCTTTTGTTCAGCTGTCATGCAATTTTATTTTCCCTTCTTTGGTACAAAATAATAATAGTCTTTTTAAAGGCAAGTACACGATTCTCGTGAATGCATTACCTCCAGCCTTTCTTCTTGATGATGCTCCCCAGAATCACTTCAGCCCTGGAAGGGAAACAGAAAATGGCTTAGGATACAGTGTCCCAGAAACGCAAGAGTCAATCCAAAACCACGAGAGCCATTCCTTGTTTGAACTCTCAGTGCCTACATGTCCCGAAAATAGAAGCCACTCTTGGCTAGTAGCACAGTTTCCGCTGTTTCTGCTTGTGCCTGCAGAATCCGGCTCCTGGAGCATTCCAGAAGCACCTGCCAAATCCTGACACGCTGGCAGGAGACCACCTATGGTCCTGATATTAAGAAACAACAGAGTCATTTGGCAGTTTGATGTTTTTGAGCCACTCATCCCATATATAAATATCCTACTTGGCAGAATCCAATGGGAGTCAAGGTTTCCCTCCTAGTTACCATGGTCTTTGATTGTGACTAGGGAGGACAATGTGAACTTGCACTGTTTAGACAGAACATACTGACTCCCAGGTGATCTTGCAGGATGAAAAAAAAAAAAACAAAAAAAAAACAGGTGGGGGTTTAGCCATCCCAAAGGCTAGGGCTGCAGATGCAGTGGCCCACATCAAGGTCCTGGGTCCTAGGGACAAGTGTTGCCATAGCAGCAAGCTGCAAGGAGATGTAGAGAAGTGTTCTTCCTGCCCCTAAGGGTGGGTGGTGGAGAGGTATACTGAAGACATTCTCCACTGTCTTCTCCCCTCCACCTACCTGAGCTGGGACCCAAGGTAAGGAGACTAAAACTTTCTTGTAGGTCCCTCCCAGGCCGACTGATGCTGTGAGAAACCACTGGGCTCTCAGAGGCTTTCTGAGTGGGGACATCAGTGGAATTAGCACTTTGTGCATTAGAGTCTTATGGATGCAGAATCGTCACTGACCATTGTCTGTCTTGGCTGAAAGTTCTGTCTTTGTTGGAGTGTCCAGCCTGGCAAGAAATCATGCTGCAGGGCAGCTACGGAGCATGCCCCAGACAGACCCGCAGGGGATGTCACCCCAGCCTCCCCTGCCCGGCCCCCTCTGGCTCTGAGGTCGCCTTTTGCAACCTTGTGTTTCATGGCAGGAACCTAGCTCAGGTGCACGCTGACAGTAAGTAGCCAGGACTGACTATCCTTCATAGTAGGAATACAGACCACCTGAGCAGGATGCAACAGGAGAAGAGAACCGAGAAAGGCTGGGATGTGGGAAGGAGCGAGGCCGTATCAATTTTATTTCCTCTCCTTGGACTCAACAGAAAACATCAGACACATGGGCTCTGAACCTCCCCGCTGGTCCTTAAACATAGCCGTGCCCTTGAGAAGGAGGAGACCCATGTGAGGAAAATGCACTGAGACCAGGCCACCACAAACTGGAGTTTGACTGTGATTCTCACCCGGGAGGGGGCGGTGAGGAGTTAGGTCTGCAGGTGATTAGGCGCCACAGTCCTGTTAGAAAATTGCATTGCTGCTCAAGCACCTGCCAGTTACTTAGTTTCTTTCTGTTCTGGGGGCTCCGTCAGTCTGTCCGTGTGGACAGCAGGTGGCCAAGGTGCTCTGGTTTTGTTTTTGTTTTTGTTTTTTAAAGATTTTATTTATTTATTTGACAGAGAGATACACAGCGAGAGAGGGAACACAAGCAGGGGGAGTGGGAGAGGCAGAAGCAGGCTTCCCGCCGAGCAGGGAGCCCGATGTGGGACTCGATCCCAGGACCCTGGGATCAAGGTGCTCTGGTTTTGTTCCACAATGTGCGTGTTGTGCTGGCGCATGGGAGGCATGGACCTTGAGGCATCCCCAAGGGCACGTTCCCCACACGGTCTGACCAAGCCGTGAGTCCTGTCTCAGAGCCCCACACCCGCTCTGGGGTCCATGAGAAGGTTGGAGCTGGTGTGACTTCTCTAGAAAAGCAGCAAGGCCCTCCTACAGTTCTCTCTGTCCTCTGCCCTCCTATAAAACAGACTACATCTCTTGGCATTTCTGAGGACCCCTCTTTTAATCTGTTCTCCTTGTCATGCTAGATGGAAGGATGGGCCTGCCAATGGGAAAAGCAGTCCCTGGTCCCTGCAGTTTCCCTCGGGGGAGTAAGGAACTATGAGATGTGGTTATGAAACTATGAGGGCGAGCTTCGGAACCACCACGCTGGAATCTGCTCATTTACTTCCTCACTCATGTAGTCAACTAACACTTCTTGATCTGCCCTGCCACCACTCTGGTCCCAGCTACCTGGGCCCCTCAGGTAGCCTGTGGCGATGTTTTCAGTCCATTCCTCATACAGGGACCAGGGGCAGGAAGGGCCAGAGGCGGGCAATAAATACCCCCAACTCTGGGGATGGGGATAGAGAAAGGGCGAAAGGCAGCGCCACCAGAGTGTGTGGGAAGGGCAGACCCTTCCCACCAGCATGTCAGCAATGGTCCGGGCACTCTTGGTACCACAAATGCCACTTGAGGGACACAGACGGGCACTGACTTACTTTCCAGCAGCATAGACTTCGGCAGTATCAAAGAGATTCACTCCACTTTCGTAGGCAATTGTCATCAGCCGTTCAGCAACCTGCAAGAGGATGTGGAGGTCACTCAGAAAAGCCAAATGGTTTCCGAACCCAGGAAGCAAGTTTGTAATCCTCCTCTGGTCTTTAGTCTTTAAGAACACTGAAATCTCACTATAACCACTCCTTGTTTTTATCAGTTGTATTACAGAATGAAAAAAAAGAAGATTCAACCAGCATATATAGGGGAAAAGTATCACCGGGCCCTAAGGGATTTCCTTCAGCGCTGGGACAGGTCAGCCCTCAGGAGCATGGTGAGGGAGGTGGATCGATTTGTGTTTCTCACTCTGCTTGGAAGATCTGGTTTGACGACAGTCTCTGCAGCATCATAATCTCTCTGACAAAGAGGGTCAGTTGTACCACTGGTGACTCCATTTCCCTTCTTCTCCTTTCTCCAAGCCAATAGGTTTTGGCAGCTGGGTGACTCCTGACCTAAAAGCCTGTGCCTTTTTTCCTCGAGGCTCAGTGCACTGTGCTGATGAACCAGAGGTTGGACAGAGCCCTGACTGCTGTCAATCTCATACCACCCGTAGCTCAGCAAAACCCCAGCCACTGTCACAGAGCCACCAGCCAGCAGAGAGGAGGGACGGAGCTTGTGCGCTGGCTCACGGGGATCCCGCTCCCCACCGGTCAGCCTGCAGATACATGCCCCCCGCCCCTTGCCCCTTCCTTTGTGCTGCCAGACCCGAGGGGCAAGTGTGCAGGACTACCAAGAGTACCAGCGTCTCTAGAAACAACAGCTTGAGGGAGCACTTTAGAGGGACAGTGATAAGCAACAGGGGAGAGGACATTTTTTCATTTTGCTGATAGATTTACTGGTCAACTGAAAAATAACACACCTCACAAATAATTAAAATGGATTTTTCCATTACGCCTTTGATTGCGGGCTGAGGTTGCTTCATCAGCATTTCCAAGATAAACTCTTTCCCTGTTGTTTTTAAAATCGGCATATCAAGAAAATTATTAGGCTAACAAAAGGGGGTCCAGGCCAATCCTTTAGAATAATAGCAGTAAAAATGCGATTACTGCTTTTAATTTGCGACCATTATGACATTTATCCTAAGTAGAAATTAAAAGTTAAGTATAGTTTTTCCCATCACGCCTGCCCTATGTTTAAGAAATTACTGTGCTCGCACCGTATGTTTTCCTTGTGTTATGTCACGTCACATACTAGTGGATCCTTATTGGGAAATGTGCATAATATCATCTAGAGAGAAATTTTAAGATAAGATGGAGAATCCTGGATGGAGAGTTGGACTACGTGATCGCTGAAATGTTCCCCAACCATAAAATTTAAACACCTGAATGTGGAATAGTGAAGTCGCTGACCTAAGACGACTGTTTTCTGGCCTTGAGCGTACTGCTCACTGGATAAATGAACTTGGGAGGTCATCTGACCTCTCAGCATTTTTGCTTTTTCATCTGCAAACCGAGGACGATTCCATTCAGGTCCCCCAGGTAGACAGACAGGCTTCCGTGGAAGCGGACCCCGCCCCCCGCCTCCCGCCTCCCGCCCCCCGCCTCCCGCCTCCAACCGCCAGCCTGGCAGGTGGAAAAGTAAGTGGCTTGGGGAAGGTCATGTGACACCTTTGGGCCAATGAGATGCAAGGACAGATTCGCACAGGCCTCTGGGAACCTCTTTCCTTGTTCTTCTTACAAAATTTCTAGAAGCAACACCCTTTCCCTGGAACTGCTGTTCTGAGCAAGGCTTAGAATTCCTGCAGCTAGGGCGCCTGGGTGGCTCAGTCGGTTGAGCGACTGCCTTCGGCTCGGGTCATGATCCCGGAGTCCCGGGATCGAGTCCCGCATCGGGCTCCCTGCTCGGCGGGGAGTCTGCTTCTCCCTCTGACCCTCCTCCCTCTCATGCTGTCTCTCATTCTCTCTCTCTCAAATAAAAATAAATAAAATCTTTAAAAAAGGGCGCCTGGGTGGCTCAGTCGGTTGAGCGACTGCCTTCGGCTCAGGTCACGATCCTGGAGTCCCGGGATCAAGTCCCGCATCGGGCTCCCTGCTCGGCAGGGAGTCTGCTTCTCCCTCTGACCCTCCTCCTTCTTGTGCTCTCTGTCTCTCAAATAAATAAATAAAATCTTTAAAAAAAAAAATTCCACATACGAGGGCGCCTGGGTGGCTCAGTCGGTTGAGCGACTGCCTTCGGCTCAGGTCATGATCCCAGAGTCCCGGGATCGAGTCCCGCATCGGGCTCCCTGCTCGGCGGGGAGTCTGCTTCTCCCTCTGGCCCTCCCCCCTCCCATGTGCTCTCTCTCTCTCATTCTCTCTCTCTCAAATAAATAAATAAAATCTTTAAAAAAAAAAAAAAAAGAATTCCTGCAGCTAGCCTGCTGTCTGAGGATGAGGTCGCTGTACGGAGGAACACAGGGCCACGGGCATCCCTGGGAAACGGAGTGGGGCCACTGATGGGAGTCCACCCTGAAGCCTGCTCCACGTCTGCACTTCTAGTTGGAAAATCTAGCTGGAAAGTCAAGGTAACTTTTCCTGTACTGATCAAGCCAGTGTGACTTGAGTTTATTGTTATGCGCAATTCAAGGAACCCTAGCTACCTTACAGGTAAGAAAATGTAGATAAAACTCTGAAAAGTAAGTGCTAGAAGACAGTGATACAGATATACTTATTGTAGTTAAAAATATTATTCACATGAGTAACATCTGTCTTGGCTCTATGATGAAGCCAAAACATGTGGGCGGCACCTCACAGAGTTATCTCCTGGGGTATTTGGGTCCTTCTGCTGTTACCCCTGTCAAGTGGCTGTTTGGTATATGGTCGGAGTCTCCCAGGAATGGGGACATCACCACCTCCCGAGGCAGCACTGCTGGTTGTGCCACTCAGCACGTCACAGGTGTGGTCATCCTGGGATTCACAGTTTGTACCTGCTTTGTGCTGAGCTCGTCCAAAGCAGAGGGAAGGCAGAGAAAAACTGGGAAGGTGAATTTGTTGCTACTGGCCTGCATTTTTCCCTCATGGAAATGGTCGAGCTCGGGCGATTCAGCTGCTGGGGGTACCGTGGTCTCCCTGTGGCTTCCTTGCCTCCCCCTTGCTGCCATTCTCTCCGCAGGGACCGGGGGGAAAGTCAACAGTAGCTGTTTGTCTGGTCTGCATCTGAGGTGAGAGCCTCTGCAGCCATTCACGACAGCTTTATTGTGCAGTTTTTAGACTCGTGCTTTTGAAATGATGTATTTCAGAGGCCAGCCTTGCACACTGTGACCTGGGCAAGCTGGGCGCGTTGCAGCAGAGAGCAGATACTGTAAAGAGGAGAGCAAACATGAAAGGGGAGATGGTGCCCTTAACAGCTGGCCCTTCTGCTCCTAAAGCGAAGGTGTATTCGTCTTTTTCTCCTCCAGCTACCGTAACAGGCAGTAGAAGGTTATGCATTTGCTAGATACAGTAGATTATTAATTCTAGATCTCCCTCCCGGTCACCTGCTTTGTGTCTGACTTAAGTTTGTGGCCATGGTTTTGATATTTGTAGATTTGCCTCTGTGCCTCCTCCACACACCCTACCTGATACTCATCAGAGGGCCCTGTAATGAACCCTGTGAAGACCCCCCAGATCCTCCTTCAGAACTGTAGGACCTAGTCCCCTAGTTGCTGGGAAATTGCACTTGGCTAAAGACAGTTGCCTCGCCCAAGGTGAGACCCACCCTCCCAGGGCAGCCTCTCTCCGATGACTGGTCATACAAAGGATATAAATACTCAGTCCTTTTGCCCCAATCCTGGACAACTCTGCAGGGCCATCTCAGCTTTGGAGCTCCCCATGGGGTCAGCCGTGGTCATTGTTGAGACTGCACCATGGCCCGATTTTCTAATAACTGTTCTGCACGCTAATCTCCAGCACAGTCTACTTTCCAAGGAATCCCCCATGTGACAAACTCTCTGGTGACCTATGCCCAATACCAGGAACAGGCATTCAGATAGATGAGAATGTGCAGATAAGACTCCTATCCCCAGGATCAATTAAATAACACTGGTGACCTTGGGAGCGGTGAAAAAGACCATCTATTCCCCCGAGCTTCTCCTTAGGAATGATAGTAAGGACTACCTTTATGAAGGGCTTGTTCTGGGCCAGGCATGGGGCTGAGCACTTCATAGGATCATCTCATTAATCTTAATCGTGATCCTGCTGAGTAGGGGCTATCACCTGCATTTTGCTGATGTGGCAACTGTTAGTAAATGTTAGTAAATCTAGTGGCAGAGTGGGCTGGATCCCACTGAGTGTATCCACTCAGACATACTATCCAGACTCCTCAATGGTGTTGCAGGTAAGCAAAAAGAGATTGGAGGGACTTGAGGACTTTGTCCTTGGGGGGTTATTGATGCTCAATGCCTGCATGACTCACTTATGCCATGAAGATATTCCTTAAAGGCAATGATAAGAATATCACTTTGGTAAGCACTGTTTTGAATGAATAAACAAAGATTTAGAGGAATTTTACAGTAAATAAATTATTATAGCTGCCATTATTGGGTGTCTGCTACCTACCAGTGAAAGGGTTGCATAAACATCTCACATGTTAAACATGGTTAACCCTTTCAACAGACCTCCAAGGTAAACTTTATCATCCCATTTCACATCAGAAGAACTGAGGCTCTGAAAGATTGGAACAACTTGCCCAAACCGAGGTGACCAGCTGGGACTGAGAATCCCATGCTAGAAATGAAAAGTCCCTGGAAACTAGGACCAGTTGGTCACTCTAGGTGGAGCCAACACACACACACACACACACACATCCCAGCAATGAAATCTTTCCATAAAGCAACTAAATATTAATGCCAAGTTGGTTTTTCTGTAACAATTGCACCCGCACAAATAATAGATTGACAACCTCATGGGCTGTTAGTAGTCAAAATGTGAAAAATACAGGAAACAGAATAAAACTGAAAATAATCTTTGATTCAATCTTAACCATTTTCCATGATTTATCCTTATAAAATTCCAGGACCCCCAAGAAGACTACTCCCACTGCTCAGCTTTACATTTTCTTTGATCACCAAAATGGAAGCCAAGAGTGACTTACCTCATCTGAAATCTGACCTCCGAATGTCACCCATGTTCCTAGAAAAGAATAAATATTTGCACATTATTCATAATTATTTTTCTAATATTATGGATAATGAAACACGTTTTCTTACAACAGGGCTCCCTCACTAGGTTGTTCACAAAGGTGTCCAGATAAGGGGCACATGGGGTGTCTGGATGATGTCCAGCCTTCCTCCCCTCCTCAGTAAATACTCCGCAGCGGTCTGCATCCCTCCTCACTCAAAGGGCTCATATATGCTAATGGCAGCCCTGTCCTACAAAATGCTTTTTCTTCTGATGTAGGACCATGAATGATCGTGTGCAAGAGTGCGTTCTCCCAAGCCCATTGTGGCTACACATGCATTTTGGTGAAGCCACTAGTTTTGAAGGTACAAGAGAAAAGGTACATGAAGCCACCATTTCTGAACATGAAGGTAAGACCCTGTGTTGTGGTTTTTACCTCCAATAAGGTACTCTGCTTTGTATTCCCTGTGACCTTTCAAAAGGAAGCCTCTCAGGTGTCCTTCCAGTCCCCACTTTCAAGCCCCAGGAGGTGACACTTAGGCACCTCCTCTGTTACAACCTGCTACTCCGGAATGGAAATTTCCATTGGTTTAGAGATGGAGGCAAGAACTGGAGTGAGGGTTGGGAAGGCAGGGGGAGAGATGCACAACCAGCAGCCAAAGATTTGCATTTGTAAAGCAAGAGGGAAGCAGACACTGGCTCTTGCCAGGCCAGTCTATAGTCACTGCAATCATTCATTGCCTCCTTGATCCTTTTTTGCTTGTTTGTTTTTATCCAAATGACATGCCTGGCAATGGCACTGCACCCAGGTGCTAGGGACAGTGACCTAGTCCCTCCCTCCCAGGGGCTCACAGTTTACAATACTACAAAGCCAGACTGAGGCAAACACAAAGCAGTAAGGGAGGGAGAGCTCTACCTAGGCTGGAGGGAGGTGGCCCTCCCGAAAGACTTCTTGGAAGAGGTGACACTTTGGTTGCATTGCAAAGGAGGTAACCTAATGATGAAGGAAGGGACAGGCATTCCAGGTACAGATAGGAGCCCGGACGAGGTAAGAGGGTGGCAAACATCAGCGGGTGCTGACAAGCTGTGGTGGGCCACGGAGAAGAGTGAGGAGATGTGTTGCAGAAAGGCGGGGAGGGGGCGGGGAGGGGGTGCAGGAGAGAGAGCCAGGACGCAATCCATGCTTGTGGCACATACAAAGAAATGTGTTTGGAGTTGTATGTTTTGCGTTTCATAACGGTCATAGTTAGCATTTATGGAACACCTCACAAATGCTGATAGTATGCTGAGAAACGTGTATACTTTTATCTCTAATCATCTTAGCAAACTTACAAGCCAACTGTATTATCCCTCCTTCCAGATGAGGAATCTAATGTCAACCAACCTAATAAGTGAAATACCCAGGATTCCCCAAACAGGCCCGGCTTCAAGAAGGATATCCTTTTCACTGCATCTCACTGCCTCGTTAGAATATTTCCAAATTAGTTATGGCATTTGGATTCCATAATCCCTAGAAACAGGCTGATATAATTGTGCCTTTTCTCTTCTTAGTTTTTCAGGGACTATAACAAAATAGGATACAAATTATTTTACTGTTCCACTCGACATCCCCGGGAGTTACAGATGGGCAGCCCATACTTGCAGACCTGTGTCACCTGGCTAGAACAATGCTGACCCTCTTGGTATTTTAATAAATTTTGAATAAGGTACCATTATTTAAATAATTAGGAAATTTTTCTTTAAAATGTCTGATTTCCAGCTTCTCTTAGCAAGAGAGGGCTGGTGTCCCCCACAAGGTAGACATGCCTTGAATCGGAGGGGCAGTGCCCTCTGGGTAAGGGTTATGCCCTCCCTAGTTAGCGAAAGCCTGCGCATGTTCCTTTGGATTCAACACTGGAATCAAATAGCAGTTGTTAGTTACTGCTGTTTTTCTTATTGTAAAGTTAAGAAAAAGGTGAACTTGTGCATCTCCTAAAAAAGAGAAATGAGTATCAAAAAAAAAAAAAAAGAGAGAGAGAGAGAGAGAAATAGGAGGGCACTTTTGAGGGGTTTGGGGGGTTGGGGGGGAATACTGTCCAAACAAAGAATGTGTGCACAGAAAAATGACAACTTAAGGCACCATAAAAAACCAGCCACGACTGGTGTACAGAAAAGATGGGCATTGAAAAACTTAATGGACTGAAAAAATGGTAGCGTTTGTTTTTGAATGAGAATAAAATAAGCGATCTCCTGTGAAATGTAGTTCTCTATTAAAAAAAAAAAATTGCCTGGGCATCAAAACCTTTTTACAGACAATGCTTTTTATAAGAGTTTCTTTTGAATGCAGCAGAAATTATGTGTCCAGAGCATAAACAAGCATTTGCGACGTTAGGGTAACCAGAAACATTGTAGCTCAGCATGTTAAAAGTACGGTTGAGAACTTTCAGGATAAGTTATTGATAGCACTTTCTCTTGCAGCAAATGAGAACATGGATGTAAATCATAGCAGACCATTAGCTATATTTATTTGTGATGTGGAGAGAATTTTGGAGGGGTCAAAGAACTTTTAGACAAGGAGTCCCTGAAAGGCAAAACATCAGGAAAATGGCTTACTTTGTGATGAGAAAGTTCTCAGACCATTGGATGGAGAACGCACTGTTCCAAATTGTAAGGGCTACTACAGGTTGGCTCTCACAGAGGGTAGGGTTGATGTTGGATTTGTCAAGCAACAGATCTGGAGTGGCATTACTTTGTAGGGGCACTATGCCTAAGTCCATTAATTTCATCACTCATTAGGAATCGCTTTGGGCTAAAAAGCTGAAATGGGACAAGTAATTAGTACCACGAATTAGCTATTCTTCCGTATCTTGGAGCAAAATCAGGTCAGTGTTTGGTTGATAAATTTCCTGGCTTACTTGTGCTGTGATACTGAAGAGATTTCTTTTAACTGTTCATGTCATCAGAGGAAATGGTCTTATCTCCACTTAACAGCAAAGATTGGCTCAAAGTTGCAAGCTTCTTACTGATAATACAACTCATTTACAGCTTTTGAATATTTTTCTATAGGGCATTTGCAAGTATTTGTACAAATGTCTCATTGGCTTCTCTCAGTCCTGACAAATCTGGAAATCTTTGGGAAATTCATTTGTTTAGGAATAATGTGATCCAGTTTCTTATGTTGAAATCAGTTTCCAGAAATGAAAAAAATAGCCTGAAATTCATTCTCCAAAACTAGGCCATTGAATACTGGATTTCAAACTTTATGAAAAGAAACTAGCGTTATGTAGCTTACCTTTCTTAGTTAAAAAAAAAAAAAAAAGGTAAAAATTAAGTAGGCTCCACACCCAATGTGGACCCCAGTGTGTGTGGGGCTTGAACCCTGAGATCAAGACCTGAGCTGAGATCAAGAGTCAGACACTTAACTGAGCCACCCAGGCACGCCAGTTAATTTTTGATAGTACAAATGAAGGGCTATGATTTAAAGTTATTGAACAGTAATACAAAATGGTATTGAAGACTGAATACGATAATGTTGAAAGCTGGGATTATACACACATCTTGGAGGAATCACCTTACTGGTAAGAACCATTTACAAAGATGTGATCCATGTTGGGAAAGCCTTTGTTTAGGGGAAGCTATATTCCAAAATCAATCTGAAAAAAACTACCTCCCACCCCCAGTTTAAGTATTTAACGCTATATTCTGTACCTTACAGTGAAAAAATGCAGAGCCTGAGTGACATTTTGGTTCAGAAGAAATAGATGTCAGGCTTCTGATTTCAAATCAAAGCAGTAATGAATTATGAAAAAAAAAACAACCACCCAGGAAATAATTGCTTTTCTTTTTCAGTTAAAAAATTTTAATATAAATAGAATATGTGTATTATATATATATTTACATTAAGTCACATGCCTACACTAAAACTTAGCAAAAATAAAGAATTTGGTGCCATTTCTGGAACTTTGTTATTCTTACATTCAGCTCACGTTGTTCAGGTCTGCTACCTCCCTGGTCCTTCTGACATTTCCTACTCATTTATCTTACAGTTATTTGCTGATAAACTTTTACATCTTTTACCAGGGAGTAAGCTGTCTGAGGGTTAAGATTTTATTCCTCTTACATCCACAGTCCTAGAATAGAAATAAGTCCTTAGTGGATGGTCGATACATTTTGGTTAAATTGTATTGAATTGCCTTTTTGACTGTTAATCTAAAAAACACTGGGATACTTTCTCACCAAACAAACATGTTTATTTTGACTTACAGAAACGTGAGTAATGCTCCTCAACAGTTCTTCTAGTCCCTAGGTGATTGACGTGTTCCTCCCTGTCCCCAGGGGCCCACCCAGCCAAACCCCCTCCCAGAGAAGGACAAGGGAAGGTCCTTCTCGTTGGCTGCAAGGCCTCCCGTGGGGGTGTGGGGGGGGCAGTGTAGGCATCGTTCCCCAGCCACCCCCAGCGAAGAGCTACCACTTACAAATAGGACACGTACCCTTCTGACGGTGAAAGATGGGGCAGCAGCTTTCCAGACAGGAGAACTTGGCTTGAATGATTTTACTCTTTACCGCACCCCTCCAGAAGATATAAGGTGGTTTGCTAGTTAATAGGATTCTTAAATCCCCTCTGTGACATGTTTCCTAATCATTTTTCTGCCTTTAATGAGAACATGCCTTCTTGAGATCTAGAACGGTGTATGATTATTTCACTGTGAAATCTCCAATTAGTGGGATGTTACTTAGAAGGTAATTTTACTAAACTGACACTTGTTATTTCTAGCCTTTTAAAAGCAGAGTAGAAAGAGAACTTTGAATTGTTATTGTGTCTTCTGATAAAATTCCTTTATACAGCAAGGAACATATGCTTTGAAAATCTGTTTATATCCGGTGCATACAGCTACCATGGCATAGAAAAGTGATTGAAATGTAAAAAAAAGAAAACTGCTTTGCACATGCATGCGTGTGCACGTGTGCACACACACATCCACCCTATCTCAGTTACTTAATTGCCTTATTGGTGGTTTATAGGGTAATTGCTT